TTTTTTTTTTTATTATCAATAAGACGTGACATTAAAAAAAAAAAAAAAAAATTAAATTTAAATTTATTATCATTTTTATAATTTTACATACAAAATAATAATAATAATAAATTTTACAATTGTTCGTTGATTAATATTATTATTATTATTTTTTTTTTAATGGCCGTTATAAAAATTTTATTAATTAAATTTATAACGAACCATTCTTTTTTTTAAATATCGTTCTTGCAAACCCCCCCCCCTCCTTTCCCCCAATTAATTTATGACACAATTTTTTTTGTTCAACTAACTGAGTTTGCATCATAAAATTTTTACATTATTTCTTTTTTCGGGGAGGGGGGAGCGTTGGGGGGGGCATCGATTTTTTTTTTTTTTTATAAATAAAATAACACTTTGTACCTTAAACTAGACTTGACATTCATTCGCTTACGTACGAAATTACATAAATTAAATTTTTTTATTAACGTAAACGAAACATGTTCGAATTCAATTGATTTATTATCATTATTTATTTATTTATTTATCACATATAGCTTAATAACGACTAATTCATCATTTACAATATTCGTTATAATTATTTACAAATTTTTACATGATAAGGAAAAAAAATATATATTTTATAACTTTTTTTTTTCCTTATTTTTTTTTTTTTGCAGAGAAGCACTTAATTGACCGCCATTTTGATCGATGATTACGTTTATTTATTACTTTAAAAATTTTATTATTTAATGTTTAATAATATTTATTACGATTTGAAAAAAAAAAAAACCACCTATCACGATAATACATAATAATAATAATAATAATAATAATAATAAAATTAATTTCGATCGTTCGGTGGGAATATCAAATAACATAAAAAAAAAATTTTTTATCATTATTATTATCGTCTTCATCTGCTTGTTTTGATTATAAAAAGATGTAATATTTATTTATACATAAGTAAAATAATGATTCGATTATTATTATTATTATTATTATTATTATTAAAACGATACGATATTTTAATTAGGTCGTAAGTTTATACAATATCAGACGATATCTTCTTTAAGACTGTCTAACAAACTCAAATCGACATCAAATATTTCGAAATTTTTTTTACTCTTTGATTTTTTAGTCATTTCCGGTTCGTCCGAACTGTTGTCGTCTCCTCGAATTTCATCATCATCATCATCATCATCATTATCATATTCGTTATCGGAAAAATTAGTGTTATCTTCACCGAAAAATAAATTTTTTTCACTGTTGTTAGGACTTAAATTATTATCCGACGTTTCCGGACTGTTTAACAGCGTGACTTCCGTCGAATCATCCGATGATTTTTTACCATCGTAAATTTCCGATTTCGTTTTACCCTTGTGTGGATTTTGATTTTTAGTTATGAGCGATACGAAAGTCGATATTGAACTTTTCCTCCTCGTAGTTTCCCTATACACGGAATTATTAACGGAATTTTTATTTTTTTTCTTACCGAAAATAACTTGTTTTCCTTCGTCTATTATATCGGAAATGACGTCTTTCGAATTGAACAGAGGACTCTTTATAAATTTCGTTTCTTTTTCGTCCGCATTATTAAATTTATGAGTTTGACAATTTATCGTGTAATTACTCGTTCCGGTTTCCTGTATAACGGATTTCGAACGTAATAATTTAATTATGGCCGCGAAAAAAAATATAACACCACCGGAAAATAATAAATATATTATTGCATTTTGTACGTTTGGAAAAATGTTTATGTACATTTGAAAAAGTAAGGATAAATCCGATGGTAAACCGTACATACGCTGAAAATAATCGTAAATATTATTATTATTATCTGTTGTTTGGGGTGGAATATGTCGGAAGGGTAGATTTCTTTTAAACTTACCGTTTCGGTCCATAATAGTGGTAGTACCATGTTTTTAAATCTTCCAACTCTTGCCATCGGTGTCAAATCTCCAAAAGCCATATTAATTTGCATTCTCACGGCAACTTCGAGCGGTAATCCGGTTTCCTAAAAATAATAATGATGATGATGATTATAATAAAGGAAATTTTCTTTTAATAAGTTTTTCCGGGTCGATATTTACCGGTTGCACTACGAAAAATGTCCTGTGCCTTTCGGGATCCGGATTACAACCGTCAACTTCGTCTTTTAATTTCGGATCGGCTTGATAAAAATGCGGATACGAAAGAGCGATAGGAAAACCTTTAAAAAAAAAAAATAATAATTGATTTGTTTTTTACTTTTCGTATGCGAAACCTGATTTTTACGTTCGTCTTACCGTAATAACAATCCGTTACGTCGAGTAATCCTCGCGGAAAACATTTCCCTTTCCGGCAGAAACATTTATTTTCGATATTGGAAGCACCATTATCCATTGCATTTTCAGGAAAATGATAAAGGTATCCTTTTAAACTGTTTCGAGATGTTTCGTTTCCTCGTACCTGATTTAAAAAAAAAAAAAAAAATTATTAAAATGGTGAAAAATGAAATTTTTCGGTCTAGACTTTTTTAACTGTGACACAAAAAACTTTCACTTTCTCTAAGTAAAATTGGTCGTTGAATCTTTTATGACCTTGACCCGGGTTAAAACAATATGTTTTATAAGGTCTCTTAAATCTTAAAATTATTTACCAGCGGCATTGCACGACATAAACTTTTCCGGAAAAACAATAGGGAATCGTTCGGATTGATAAAACTTGGAAATTTAGTACCATCGGAACTGTCATTAACTCTTCCGCATGGTAAATCCCATTGTGGGAGTTTCGGTGATCGATTATACGTTGCCAATAATCCAGATTTTGATAAGTCGTTATCACCCGTATAAAACGTTGATACGTCACCATCGAAATCGTACATCTAAACGAAAAAAATTTATTTATTTATTATAACCGTTTTATGGGGCGGGGGTAAGGGAGGGAGGGGGGAGGGGGGGGTAAAAAAAATTAAATAATTACTCTATCGATTAAACCGAGTTTATCGAATATTATCCAAGATGGTAGAAGACGATTTCCAACGGTCACCAAAGTCGATTCGTAACCGAACATGAATTGACGAGCCGTCATTTGAACCAATGGATTCGAATCCGTTTGTCTTATCCATAGATTTACGGCCATACGCGATAGATAAGGTTTATCCAGCATAACGTTTGCAAAACTCTTTAAAAAAAAATTAATTTGGATAATAAATATTACGTATCAATGATTTATTAATAATAATAATAATATTTTGTACGATAAATAAAGTTTAAATCAAAATTCAGGGGGGGGGGTAAAAAAAAATAATATGGGGAGGGGAGGGAGAAAACCGGAAGTTGTAAGCTTTTTTTTTTTCTTTCTTCTTTTTCGAATCAAGGTAATGTTAAAAATTTATAAAAAAATTCCTTGAAAAATATTTGAATAAATGTCCAAAAAAAAAAAAAAAAAAAAAAATGGCTTCCTCTTCCGTCATTTAAAAAAACGTTATTTGTTGTATTAAAACAAATTAATTAACACGCGAAACAAAAAAAAATTTAATGAATAAGTAAATATTGGATTGAATCGTTTAAAAACTTACCAGAAGTGCAATGTTTGGTAATATTAACAAATCTTCTTCTGTGCCATTGCTTAATTCCGGTACCCATTTTAATGGATGTGCTGGAGATGACGTCATTGTTCCGTTACTATTAAAACTCACGTTCATGTGTTCCATATACTCTCTATAAAAAATTTTTTAATTGATTAATTATCCAATGGGTTGTTAAAATAATCGCGGTATATTTTAAATGAAAGTAGTACCTGTACACGTAAGGACCGACTTCTTTAACTTTAAGTTTTTCTCTTCCTTCTAGAAAAGCTTCACGATTTGTTACGTTAAATAAAAATACTCTTAAATATAATTCGACCGGTGGTGTTTTCCATAATTCGAATATTTCTCCCCGATGTTTTAAATTTATTTTCTATAAAAACAAAAAAAAAAAATCAAAATGGCGGTCAAATATGCTCTCTCATACCGGAAACACAGAGAAAATTATTAAACTTTAAGGGATTTTTACATCTCATGAAAATTTTAAAAATATTCATGAATGAATTGTTTATCTATCCATTGGTTTCTTATCAATCAAACAATGATAATGAATGAATAAATTTATGAATATAAATAAATAAATAAATAAATAAATATTTAATTTTATATAATTTTTATTTTAATACGTGACAGAAAGCATTTGTCGTTTTTAAATTATCATCAAAATGGAAATTTTTTTTTTTTTTTTACTGGACAAAAAAAAATGTTTTATCGATTATTTATTTATTATTTATTTTTACTCACGATAAAATTAAATAATAATAATAAGTTTTGACTTTTACTTTTACTCTATTAATAAAACGTTAATAAATAATTTATTTATTTTTTTTTATTAATACTTACAAATTTAAATAAAAGGTCGTAGGGATCGACGAAAAGAACTAGACAACCGGCAATTATACCGATAAAACCGATGAGCATGAATAAGAAAACACCTGGAAAATAATAATAATTATTATTATTAATATTAATATTAATTAATTAATTAAAATTTTATTTATTTAAATGTTAGTAGTCGTCGACGTTCAAAAATCATTTTAAAAAAAATTTTTTTTTTTCCCGTTAACGTTTTATTTATATATATGTATATTTATTAATTTACGTATTAATTAATTATAAATTTCATAGAGTAAATAAATTATTAATAATTGTTTATACGTTTTTAAAAAATGCATTTAAAACGAATAAGGAAAACAATAATTAACAAAGGTTGCAAAACGCATCGTTTTGTTTTGTTTTGTTTTTTTTTTTTTTTTGGCTTTAATTCAAGGTGTAAAACCAAAATAATAATAATAATAATAATAATAATAATAATAATAATAATTAAAATTTTTCATTTTTGAAATAATAATAATAATAAAAATAATACATAAATATTAATTAAAAATGTTGCGTTGGACCATAGACGTTACTTTAAAAAAAAAATGAACGTTGAAAAAAAAAGGGTGATTGTAATCGATTTAAATTTTCGCGCCAAAAGGAATTATTACTTTAATAAACGAAAGTGTATAATTATTGATGCGGTTTGTCGTGGCGTTAACGTTTTTTTTTTTTTTTTGGGGGGGGGGTTGGTACTCGTTAAGGATTTTAAATTTTAATCCCATGCAGAAAATTTTGAATAATCGATTATTGTAAAACCTTTTTTTTTTTTTTTACTTAGGATTTATTATTATTATTATTATTATTATTATTATTATTATTATTATTTTCGTTTTTTTTTTAACTTTTACTTAACCGCCATCATGTTTATACTTTCATTTTTTTTTCCCCCTCGTTTGTTTCATATAAAAATTATCGTTATGTTATATAATGCGGTAAAATATTATATAGCTTTTTTTTTTAATCAAAATTTTCTTTTTGTTTGTTTGTTTGTTTGTTGTTTGTTTGTTGATCGGGCATATCAATCATAAAAATTCATTTTAAAAATAAATTACACGTTTGTTATTTAAAAAAATCATACTTCTTTCAGTTTTTTTTTTTTTAACACTTATATAAATTTTGATTAATAATAATGATAATGATAATAAAGCGAGAGGGTTTTTTTTTTTAATCGAAAAAAGAGGAAAAAGCTTTTAACAAGGTATCAAGGTATTTTTTTTTTTTTTCACTTGCAACCTTAAATGTCAACTCTGATGAGATAAATAAGGTTTGAGTTTGAGTTTTTTTTTTTTTTTTCATGTAAATGTTATTTAATAATTTATTTATTTCCGTAAATTATTATCATTATCATTATTCATTATTGATAAATAATTAATTTTTTTTTTTTTTCGTAAGGATGTTTAAGGGCGGTAAAATGTAAAAGGACGACGAGTAAAATTTAAGTAAAAAATTTGATAGGAAGGAAAAAACAAAAGGTTTTATTTAAAATGGGAGATGGGGATGGGGAGGGAGAGGGGAAGGTGGAAATTGTCGGAAAAAAGGAAACCTTGTAAAAGCTTCTACCTTCGGATTTCCCGATGGAATTTTCTTAAAAAAATTTTCTTTTTTAAGGCAATAATAAGACAGCTCAATGTTTTTTTTTTTGAATTAAAGATTAACAGGTACGTGGTATAATCGTTTACGAAGGACAAGTTTGCCGATCTTGTTTTTTTTTTCTCGCCATTTTCCAAAAGTTTTCCAGATATTTGCAAATTTTTTTCTGTTCCGTTTGTGATTCATACGTAGAACAAAAAAAAAACCATGGAAATCATTTTACCTTCTTGATAACATTAATAAAAAAAAAATTGATCCCGCGTTGAATACAACGCGTAACGAAACGAAAGTGAACGTACGAATTAAAATAATGATAATAATGATAATAATGATTTTTTTTTTTTTTTCCAAAAGGGGGGGGCTTTATCTGGGACGCGAAACGATAAAAAAAAACC